TATTGAAAATTATCGAAGAGGCTGAACAGACACCCTTACCAAAACAACGATGTAGTAAACCATCCAAGCATCAAATTGATCAGGTAGAAAGGGAGATGGAAGAGGAAGAGGATAGTGATAGTTCAGTTGGATCAGTGATAGTTGTAGATCACCCTGTAGTATGTAGGACAAGGTCAAATAGGAAAATATGATTTTTGTGACCCATATCATGACATGACCCACTTCTAGTCAAGTTACGTTAATTGATTAGTATTTCCGCTTTTCTTCGAAAAAGAATCCCATTATGAATAATAGACATTGAAATTGTTTAAAAGAATAGTTTCTTATATAATAAATATATTATACAAGCACCTTTCGATTATAAAACCTTTCTTTTTAGCTTGATCAGCTTGTTATATATATTGATGATTTGAAAGGTTTTATTTCCATTTTGACAATTGAAAATCTGTATATCAGAATCTATTAGAGAATCGGAAGCTAGATTGATTGTAGCTTGAAGAGTTTTTAATGTATATAGTAATATACATAACTGGTAATTAGAATTGAGTCTTGATAATGTTTGTATGAAATTGGAATATATAATAGATCTTGAATTTGAATAATCGATTTCGTTTTTAATAATCTAAGGTTCTTGAATTATAATAAGATCGATATTAAGTTTTATTATTATTATATTATTATTATTATTATTATTAGTAATTTCAACCGGACCGTATAGGCGAGCCTCCCAGGGGGCATTACGGTTGGGCTAACTGCGGGATGATCTTCTAGTTTATATGATTCCCCTTTCCTAGGGATGGGGGTCTCAATACCCTCAATAGCTTTCCAAACAATAGCTAACATACTTGTATCTTTGTTTCTAATCCTTTAAGTACCTTTATACACACTTTCCGATTTCTTATATAGTATTTATTTGAAAGCTGTTTTATTCTGTAAGAATAGCTTTTATATACATTCTATTACAATATAATATACCGTGTACTTCAATTTTCTTTTACATAGCTTTTCTAAATCTATCCCCTTCTACTCCCTATTTATATTCACCTAAATCAATCAATCCCTTTCCTTCTCTCTTTCTATTCTTCTAATAGTGTTTTAGGGTATATACTTTTATAGAAATCTGTTATAATAATGAATTTAGTGAATTTGACTAATATATATATTAATTGTTTCAGTAATCGTTTTTGAGCTGCTTAATTACAAGATAGATATTTGGGCTTGATATCTGGAGGCCAGGTTTTATAGATTACAAGGACTTTACAATAATATACAATATGCTCAGAGGATTTGAATACTCTACATAAACAATAGATTATTACTTCTTCATGTTTAAATCGTTGATAATAGTTTTTGAAATCGCTTATATGCTGAACGGATTGTTAGTATATAATAAAGAATTGCTTATAAGAATTCTAATTCCTTAGAGTATTTATTTATACTCTTTAGATCCCCTTTCTAATACTATTTGAAAAGCATTAATATCTATTTGATCCATTACACTTGTACTACTCAATTCCATAACAGTTTTTTACTATAAAGCAAATACCACTTACTATAGGTCAATTCACATACCCTAAGGCTGATTTTCTTATCCCTTTGTCAACGAGTATATCCATACACTCAATCCCTTCGATCCCTGTATGGCCTAACAATCATTTGATTTAGATTGAGTGTGTTTATATCAATTTGTAATATTTGAGGAAAGCTCATTGTAATGTGATAGAGGCTGTATCTCTCATTCCCTATATCACCGATATACTATCGATGCACATACAGATTTCCATTTGTTTTATACCAGTGATATTTCTGATCGCTGCTTGAAGGCCTCGATATGCCCTGATCGCTTTCATATTGAATACATGAGAGTTGTAATGCAATCCACCGTTTCCTTTATATATTACCGTCTGTCCTTATATACAACATATCCATATCCTACTCGCCTACCATTCTTATCGGTCTATTCCGATCCATTAGAGAATATGGTGATCTGATTGTGTATATTGCTTGTTTTACTATTCCTGAAACTACTTTATCGCTATCTCTTTCGTAAGGCCTCTAATAGGATCGTTCAATATTCTAATATATAATGGGGCCCTGCTAAAGTTGTCTCCTTGATTCGGGAAAGGTACTGACTGATTACCTAAAACCTTTGTTCTGGCTGGCTGTAATTAGTTTTCCCTATTGGTTAGAGGAGTAGGTAATTTTTATTTCTTGGTAATAAAGCGAATGTTTTGGATCAATAGTTTGGGTACGGAAGGCTGCTCTCTATTTATTTGTTTTAATGCTACTTCTGCTAATGGGAGAGCGCTATCCCTTATTATTACTATATTCAGGGTCGTTCATTAGACTAAAAGGACTTTTCTGATTACTATTTATAGAATCTTATTAATAGTTAAAATCGCTTTTCTAATCGAACACTTATTACTACTAATATCCCATCTCGGTGCTATCTAATAGTTTTTTATTATTCTATATATCATACCTCTGCCCTATAGAATAGGACTGGGTATAAACAAATAATCACTGCTTTCTGTAAGGATGCTATTAGGAGTCCATTTGTGATCCGGGTTAGCTCTTAAATGTGATAAGCCAATTTCTAGTCTTTGGCTGCTCGTATTTCGATATACTATTTGAATATAAGCTTGCGATCAAACCATACGCCTAACTATTATAAAGTCGATCCTAATATAATCGGAGAAATAATACAATCGCGGTTTATTTTGTATACCGAATTGATGGATACTTGTATCGTATTATATAAATCATCTCTATCTTTTCGGATACAAAGATTATTTTGTTCCTAGCTTTCTAACGGAATATGCTTTTCACATCTCTTGCTAGCATTGCGACGTTTTGTTGAACGCTTGCCGATGATCGGTATAGACAGAAATTAAGTTTTATTGTAAGCTATAGAATGTTTTTTGTAGCTTGTGAACTTTGATTAAGATTTATTTGAAGGATTCGAATATTAGTGTGACTTATTAATGAGTAATATTCGATTTTTGTTGAATAACCTAATAGGTTTTGTATGTTTTCGAATTTGCTGTATGATTCTCTTGGCAATTCGAGCATTTTACTTCTAAATATTAATAGAACTTTCTTCTAATATTATATATCATATACAAGTGTATTAATGTAATATACTTGTCTCTATATAATCCATAGGAAGGGTTCCTTTTACAATAGGTATTCTAATACCCAAATCCTTAATATTTCTAATATTGTATAATTGGTTTTGATTTATAGAATTGTTTTACTTTTATACTACTTCCAGCAATATATAATTGCTTTCGAATAACTAATTCTGTTTTTGATTTTGTAGTAAAAGCAATAATAATAACACTCTCTTATTGATAAGCTCTTTTGGAGGTGGGTATAAGCTAAAAGGGAATTCCTATAGACTTGAAGTTTGGATTAAAGGTTTTGATTTTGTCAAGTATAAGATCTATTTCTTTTATATCTGAGAATTCTTTAATTGGGATTTTGTGAATAATGACTTTATGCTATTTTTGATCCTTTTGGATTCTTTTGAATTTGATAATATTACTCCAAATCGCTTTCTTCTTCAATAAGAATTGTAATATAAAGGGATCATTTGTTATAATAATGATATTATTATTAAAAGATATAGTTATTGCTATAATAACTAGCCCTTTGATTCCAATCTTTTAAAGACTTCATTTATTTTATTTCGGATAATTAGAGAGGAAAAGGAAATAGGATTTGGAAAATCTGGCTTGATTAAGATAATTTGTTTTTAGATGAGATTAGATTTCTTTTCTACATTAATAGATATAAAGTTTTTCCCTTTAGGGACTAAATTCCATTCTCCTTTTTTTGAAATATCAGTGTATATTGGTTCAATATAATAGTAGTAACAGTAATAAGCGAAAAAGATTTAACTAATACTTTTGCTTGTAATTCGATTTTATATATAACAATTTCCAAATAAATGATTTGAAAGATAATGATATTAGAAGCTATAATAAGCTTCCCCTTTTCAGTATATTCTCTAAAGATCTCTAGGAGATCTAAAAGCTTAAATTGTTCTTCGCGTAATTGGGAGAAAAAGGAAGCTAGCACTATAAGATCTCTAGCTTTCAAAATAGCTTCCTTAGGTGTATTTAGATTGTTTTGAATTCTAGATTATTTGTTCTAATTGCTAAGGGGTATTATAGAACCCCGTTTCTTATTCTAATTGAATATATAGATAATATTGATTATATCTTAAATAATAAAAGGATCACTAAATAGATTGAACTCTTCAAATCTTCTTCCAAAACTAGCTAGCTAATTGGTTGATAAAATAGAGCTAGAGATTTCGAATTGAGGGTTTTCAGAAGGCAGGGAAAGGCTTTGAAGGTATTGGGGTACCTAGAACAACAATAGGATAAATATTTGATATAATGAAGGCTTCAAAAGGAGCCTCCATCATAGCTGTATCCCTAAATATTGATGGATTATTAAAAAAAACTCATATTAAAAATCTTATTCTTATTCTAATAATTCAGAGTAAGAAAATTTTACGCGAATTTTCGTATATGTTTCGTGTTCGAAACGCCAACAACAATAGCACAACAACTACTGATCAGAATCACTAAGGGGCAATTACAATCAATTTGATTTAATAACTATAATCTAAATCGATTGCGAACGGGTCGTATTTCAAAGAAAAAGTTTCCTTCGAAATTTATTATAATTGAGTTCTTCGTGGAAGTTCATTTGTCAAATCCAAAAAACCAATCAATATCCGACATTGAGCTTCGAACTGAAGCCGATATTGGCTTTGAAGCAGCACAAAGTTACTTGAATGACGTTCCTGAGGGAGAGCAAGCAGAACTCTTAGATATACCTAAACATCAAAGGGGCAATATAAGCAGCAATTCCAGGGCATTACAGGAGCTACAGCTCAAGAGTTCGAAACAATAAGTAACAAAAAGCTTCCCCCAACATATATTCGTGGTAAATTTAAAGACGGAGCTGTTATTAAGGAACATTTCATGACTCGAACAACTCTTCGAACAATTTTAGGTCACAAAACCGCCGATCAATTGATTCAACAACATTACAATCAATATGATGTTGCAGTCAAAGAACCACCTTGGCCCAAATTCATGGACTGGAAACCAGCTGGAAAGGCAATTCGTAGGGGTAGATCTCGACGAGAGCAAGAGCAATCCGAATCCGAATCTGAATCCGAGGACAACTATACACCCACAAATAAAAGGGGACGAGGTCGGGTATCACAATCCGAATTGCAACGAAATTCCCAACAAAATGTTGGGGATATGAATTGTTCGTTAGAGGAACAGTATCAAAAGAAGTAGCTAAGGCAATGGCTGAAATAATGGTAAAAATACAGCAAGAGATCAGAAATATGAGTCTTGGAAATCAAAATTAAAGGATACGAGGCTTTCATTCTCCTTCTTTCTTTCTTTCTTTCATTCATTCATTCTTTTCTTTCCTTTGGTTTATCTCCCTCTTGATGGAGAAGAATTGATATAATTATATCTCTTCTATGCTAAGTTAGGTTCAACACCTATTTTCCTTAACATTCCCTAGTATTTATATAACATATTCTATAAGTTAGACGCGCTGTTGAAATTCGGTACTTTTCATTATATACAATCAAGATTGAAATAAAATTCGCTCCATCGATCTAAACCTCCCTAACGTTCGTCCCTGTGTTTCGAGACGCACCCCGTAATGAGACAAATTATAGATACTTCGAGTTTAAGTAATTTTAAATTTATAATTATATTCCCATTTCAATTTGTTTTATTTATAATTATATTTAATGTTTTTTTAAAATATTTTTGATTTATTATTTTTGAAAATTATTATTGTATTATTATTATTTACTTATATATATAAAAAGTCTTTTTTGTATTATAATAAAACTTCTTGATTTATAATATTATTATAAAGTTATTTTTGCTTTTTAAATTTATAAAACAATTAGATAGAGATTTTCAAGTTTTATTATAATACTAAAAGTTTATTTTTAATATTATAATAATCATTTTTTTATTTATTTTTATTTATTTATATTAATTAACATCTATTTTGGATCTCCCTAAGAGTATTTAGATATACCAAAATAAGAAACTATTTGAGCAATATAATCATCACAACCGAATTTAGCAATTTAACTTCAATATCAAGGGCTATTCACTTTTCTACAAATACAATCTACTTTTGTTTTTAAAAGGGAATATCTAATCCAAATTATCATTAAAATAAAACTTGGTTTTTGGATAGATAAACTTATTATAGGACTTCAATCTTTATAATAGAGAAGAAAAGCGAAAGTAGATTACTATTTGTTTAATCAAGTAATAGGGCTTTTATATTGTATATTGGGTTTATAGTTTTTAGAGGTGTAATATATTTGAATAATTAATTAAGTAATAAGTTTATAAAGAGTAAATAATAAGCTTTATTAAAAAGATTATTGCTTTTTAAGGGTTCTTTAGTAGTTAGAATAGATCTGAATATAAAACTCTAAATGTCACGGGATCACTTCTGGGAGTATTCAGAAGCTTTACCGCTGAGCTAAACGCCCAAAAGACTAGGAGGTAGAACTGGAAGTTCTACCTTACTCTCACATATATAGCAGGACAGGACAGGACAGGACAGAAAGGGCGTTAGTGTCACCCCGTGACACTAAATCAATAATTAATTAAATAAGCTTATTAGATATATATAAGAGTTTTTTTAATATATATAATTATTTCCTTATTAGATTGTATTTCTATAGGAACAAGGGGCTAGTCTGAATACTTTAGATTGTTTATAGTATATTTAAAGAAATAATATGATTCTTTAGTATTACTGTATGAGCAGTTCAGTTTGTTATTTTGATAACCAAATCGCTGATGGTAAATAGTGTAATCGCTATAATCTATTTTTATAGTTATTAATCGATATAAGATTACTCTTAATAGAATTAGTTTCTTTGGTTTCTTTATATTATATCTAGGAGATTATTTTTTATAATTAGCGAAAAGAAAGTGTGAAGGACTGTCATAAAAGGATTCAATTCTACCTTAGAATCTAAAACTAAAGAAGGAAGAAAAGAATAAGAAGAGAACTGTAAGGGCTCCGGACTATATACACCAATGAGTCACGTGCTAGGCTAAGGTCCTAGAAGCTAAGTGACTGAGAAAGGAACCTGAAAGGGACTGAATCGTCACAGAAAGGAGTTTATCTCTTCCTACTAGGTAGATTTTATATATAAATACTTTTAATAAATAATCATTCAAACCCCATTGATTATTAATAACTTATCGATTATTTAATTTATAAACCTAATTATACCTATATTTATTAAATAATCTGTTTTCTTATTACCTTTAATCTCCATATGTCTATTATTATTATTATTATTATTAGTAATTTTCAACCGGGCCGTATAGGCGAGGCCTCCCCAGGGGGCATTACGGTTGGGCTAAACTGCGGGATGATCTTCTAGTTTATATGATCCCCCTTTTCTAAGGATAAGATCTCAATACCCTCAATAGCCTCCCAAGCGATAGCTAATGTACTTACACCTTTATCTTCAATTCTCTAAACACCTCCATATACGCTTTCCGATCTTCTATATAATATTTGTTTGAAAACTACTTTATTCTATAAGAATAGTTTTTGTATATATTCTATTATAATATGATATGCTATGTGTTTCAATTTTCTTTATATAGCTTTTCTAGATCTATTCTCTTTATTTTCTGTTTATATTCGTTTGAATTAATCGATTTCTTTTCTTCTCTTCTTCTATTCTTTTGATAGTATTTTAGAATATATACTTCTATAGAAGTTTGTTATAGTAATAAATTTAGCGAATTTGACTAGTGTATATATTAATTGTTTCAATAATCATTCTTGAACTGCTTAATTACAAAATGGATATTTGAATTTGATATCTAGGAGCCAGGTTTTATAGATTGTAAGGACTTTACAGCAATATACAATATACTCGGGGGATTTGAATGCTCTATATAAGCAATGGATTATTGCTTCCTTATATTTAAATTATCGGTAATAGCTTTTGAAATTGCCATATGCTGAGCGGATCACTAGTATACAATGAAGAGTTGCTTATAAGAGTTCTAATTCCTTAGGATATTTGTTTGTACTTTTTGAGTCCCATTTCTGATATTGTTTGGAGAGCGTTGGTATCTGTTTGATCTACCACACTTATGCTATCGATTCCATAACGGTTTTTGCTATAAAGCGAATACCGCTCGCTATAGATCGGTTCGCATATCCTGAGGCTGATTTTCTTATCCCTTCATCAGCGAGTGCATCTGCTCGCTTATTCCCCTCGATCCCTGTATGGCCTGGCGACCATTTGATCTGGATCAGGATCTCCATATGTCTAGATGACCACTTTATCTTAATATTGAGTTGTTTTATTACTTTATAATATTTGTGAAAAGCCTATTATATTATAAATAATGTATTTTTGTATATATTCTAAATAATTGATATACTGTTAATATATATTTAAATCTGATTATTCAAGGGATTTTCAAGTATAATAATTAGATACTCTAATTCGTATTATACTCCTATTACTTTTATATCAAATATATATAAATTACTTTGGATCTATTTAAATCCAAAAGCTATTTGAGTATTATTACAATATATTATATATCTGTAGCCAACACAATGTTTATAATTAATAATTTTATTCTGATTTATCAGAGAAGATTATATAATCTTTGGATAGAAGTTATCACTATTATTCTTTAAAGGCTTGAACTACTTCTTTTTTGATTAATCCTTTTGTTGGATCTGTTTTGTAGTTAATCGAGTAATACAAATAGAATAGCTTCGAGTATTGAATCTCTAAAATAAAAAGGCTTAGCTACTAGATTCTTGTAAAAGATCCTTTTGCTATACCTATTCCTTATCTACATTTTTGTATTATTGGCTTCAAGCGATTTATTAGTAAGTACTGATTATCGATTGTTTTTAAATGGAATATAAATTATAGTTTGATATATTCTAATGTAAAAGAGTAGAAGGTGGTAGGGTCATAAAGTAGTCCTTCGTAAATACCACAGATAAGTCACTGAGACGTAGCGCCTCCGATGGAGAAGAGGAGGAAAAGGCTCTATATAGCGTGTTACAAAACGTATAAGAAGATGGATGGGAACTGATTGCTTTCTCTAACTATACAAAGAAAACCTATAAATATTAGTTATAAAAAGAGATCATATGACCAGTACCAAGTTTCACTTACATTCCTCCCTACATAAAAAGGTTGATCATTCCGATCAAATCAAAAGGAAAAAAAAAAAAGTATATCCTGAAAAAAAAAGAAATAAGAAAAACAAGATAAGGAAAGATACAAATACCGATACTCCCAGAAGTAGCGACTCATTGATCAGCTCTTGATATCAATCGATATAACTTTGCCGAATTTTGACAAAGTTATAATAAACTAATAGTTTCAATAGCTTAAAATTGTTTTCAGAACCTTTTATTGAACCCAATTACTCCATCGACTTGGAGTTTCAACATTCTTGTTCTATTTATATTGCTTGAAAGTTCTCTTTTGTATTTTAGATTCCAATCCCTTCTCTATTTCCAGAATCCTGTTACACCTAGACTTCCTATATCTTGGAATGCTTGAGGGTCCAGTTTTATCTTAGCCTAAATCTGGATCTGGATTCTCATTTAAATCTTCATCAGAATCTTTATTAGGATTTTACTTAAATCAGAATCAGAGTTCTTGTCATCACTAAACGAAATAAATTCGATTTCTTTTTTACTATCCGATTCAATATATATATTTTTATACTCACCCTCCAAAAGATTCTTAACAGTTTCAAAGTAAAACTTATCCTTATAGCTTTTCTCAATAAACTTAACATTATCAAATATCTGTGTAAAAAAAAACTTTGATAACTTTTATATATTTTTTGTACCACTAATTGAAATTCTAGTTATTTATAATGAAAAATCTCATTGTCTCATTAAAAACAAATACATTATCCCAAAAGAGTTTATTGATGAGAATTTGTTTAATAGAGTTTTGCAAAATTAAATGATATTTAACCAGAAATCCGGGAATTTTGTATTACCTATTACTAGTAATATATTTATCAAAAATAGGTTTCAAATTACGATAAGCTTTTATAACATCTTTATACTTCATTTCATTCCTGAAAATAGGATTTAAGCTGTTATCAGGAGCTAGTTTTACTATAGTATATAGAATAATAAATACAGCAAGCAATCTGTTTCCTTAGCCATTCGTACTCTGCCTGAAGCTTATCGGATTACCACCAACAATAAAAGCCTAAAACGCATT